ACCGTCTCTGCCCGTCACTCAGATGGCCGCCCTCATGCAAATGTGACTCCTCATCCCGCTATTCCACGAGTTTCCATGCCAGATGGTGCCAGTGGTATTAGAAATGGCACAGTGTTGCCACCTTACACTACCATTTATTACTTTGATCAGGTAAGAAAAGTTGAGATAAATAAATAATGCGAGATTCTCACACTTTACCAGCTCATAGACCATGATAAACCTGATCTAGGTACCTTCAAACAACGATACTGGTTCACTTGGGAATACTATGAAAAAGGAGGACCCATCCTACTATCGACCCCAGGTAATGTAATCCTGTACGGGTTGTACTAGACTATTAAACAAAAATAGGCGAAAGTAATGCGGCAGGGGTATGCTATACGAACATTGCGGCTTATCTCTCATCTGATCGCTCAATAATAGTTTTCTGGCTATCTCACCAATAGAACCATTCCCGGCCTGATTGCACAACCCAATAAAGGCGCGACAGTTGTATTGGAGCACCGATTCTTTGGTCTTTCCAATCCTCGTCCGGACTTGTCCTCTGGTTCGCTGGCATTACACACAGTACATCAGGCTGTCGAAGATCTCGCTTATTTTGCCAAGAATGTACACCTCCCTTTCCCCGAAGATGTAGAAGATGGTGCAAATGTCGGGCCAGACAAGAACCCCTGGGTAAGAGAAGCGCTCTGTCCGTCCCAATCTTGGCCTAAAGTACCTTGCTCTTAGATTCTTGTCGGTGGTAGCTACAGTGGAGCTCTTACTAGTTGGGCTAAACTGAGGTATAATTCTTTCAGGCCGTGTCTAATGGAACTGACTAGGAGCCTTCAGTCATCCAGAAGTATGGTGGGCCGGTTATGCCTCTTCTGCTGTGGTCCAAGCCATCAACTATTATTGGGCTTACTTCGAACCAATACGACAATATATGCCAAGAAACTGCTCCGCTGACGTTGAGAGAGTCATAAATCATATGGATTTTACGTTTACATTCGGCTCAAAGGTTCGAAACCACTATTTGATCATATGATCTTTTATTTATTCATTCTCAGAAACAAAAGAATGCTCTAAAGGCAAAGTTTGGAATGCCAAACGTCACTCACTATGATGATGTCGCTGGGACCCGTATGTTTCTGTCTTCTGTGGAGACCCTCTAGACACTCACATCTACCTAGTTCGAAACCAATTATGGAACTGGCAATCACTAAATCCTACATCTGGAGGGGCGATATTCTATGATTTCTGTGATGCCCTGGAGGTTGTGGATGGCACATCACCCGGGCCTGAAGGCAGAGGACTCGAGCACGCGCTTGATGCCTGGGGCAAATATGAGACCGACTACGTAAACAACTGTAAGTGTTGACATGTCCCAAATCGTCCAATTACTGATGGTAATCTGCGTATTAGTGTGCCTAGATACTCCTCAAGAGTAAGTTATTACAAGTTTCGCTTGATTGAAGGAGGCTTATGGTTCGAACTCAGTGAATGCCTCGGCTCTTACGATCCTTCTTTGGCGTATTGGCACGACACCAAAGTTGATCAAAATTATCGCTCATGGATGTGGATGTGGTTCGTATAAATCAACAAACAAATATCATCTCGCTTATGTTCCAAACAGCTGCAACGAATTTGGTTTCTGGCAAGACGGA